GACTTATATTGCTTACAAACTGTATGGCCGTGGCAGGCTTCTTGCTAACTGTTCTTATAGCTTAAATTAATACATTTCCATAAATCTATGCCTTGCCACGTGGCTCATGGCTTACTGGCATCTTCACATTCTGCTTGTCCTGGTGGCGGCTGGCAGTTACTCCTTCTACCTTCCTGTTCTTTCTTTTCTCCTCTCTGTTAGTCTTGCCTATACTTCCTGCCTAGCCACTGGCCAATCAGTATTTTATTTATTGACCAATCAGAGCAACACATTTGCCATACAGAACATCCCACAGCAAGATTGATTTTAAATTTTTTTATAAGATGAATCTTCAAGTTGAGTAAATATTGAATTTTGCATCCTAGAGAAGACAAAAAATGGTTATGTGTTATGCATTACTGTCCCACCAAATTCAGCTTGTTCTGGCTCATTCTTTAAGACTTAGTGAGTGTTTTTAGCTTTGGAGCCAATTCAGTGAATTCCTCTGAATTAAGCTTATCATGCTGTGTGGTCATGTGTGTTTCTCTCACCTCTTGTAAGACCTTTGACTTCAAGTCCTGTTTGCACCCTACTGTCTTGCTTGGTTCTGGGCCATCTTGAGCACTCTGTGAATAGTGAGTAAATAAGGTGTTGTGCTGGAGTGCAGATAACTCAGAAAATCCACATGCATGTGATTCCAATTTGAACTGTGAAAACTGGATGGAGTTTCATTTAAGGATATGTCCATCATTTGGAGACGGATAGTTGTTGTTTGTTGCTAACTTCTGTCTCACTGGTTTTATCAATGGGGTTTTGTGATTTAGGTTTCTGTGTTGATTCCTCTGCTGGAGAATGGAGAGCTTTTGATTCCTGGCCAAGGTGACTGTCTGAAAGTAGCTCCTACATTTCAGTTATTTGCAACCAGGAGGTATGTGTAACTGATTGTTCCCATTCTGAAATCTCTTCTTGGTGCTGCATATTGGAGCCTCTATGAATATCCCCAAAAGTCCTGGGACATCAGGGAATGCCACACAACTTAGAAACACTTGAACTCAGTTTTCAGCTCTGTCATTTGTAGTCATAGTTTATTGAGCAAGGGACATTACCAGGCTTTTCCTTATACATGAGACGAAAATAATGACATGTTTTTGGGGCAGTGTGGTTAATGTGTAAGCATGTAGTTTGTCTAGAATAAACATTTAATATATATCCCCCTCATTCTGGAAATCTGTAATAATTTCCACATGTAGCTTTTGGTAACAAGCAGTCAACTTACTCTTAAACATGCGAATACCTTCAAGTATGTTTTATTGAAGTCATTTATGCTTTATAGAAGAGTCTTATCATTGAGATCTCAACACCCCGTGGCATTATTTGCAGTGATTTAAAAGTAATTTGGTAAAAATTCTATCATTCCTTTTTTTTTTTTTTAAAAAAGACTCATGGGTCAAATGGCAGACTGTAATTTTTCATCTGCCATACTTAACCTATTAGTGTCTAGCATTAAAATGGCAGCTTTTATTTATGAGTTAGGAATTGTATAGTAGTCATCCCATTTATCTATGATTTCACTTACCATAGTGAAGTCATATGTTGGTAGGATTTAAAAATACTAAATGGAAAATTATGGAAATAAAGATCTTGTTTAATATTGTTGTAATTGATTATTTTAGAGTGTTGTTGTAGAGACTTGCTGCATAATGCAGGCTGGCTGCAAACTCAGTTAACAGGCTCCAGTCTCTCTCAGGTATGAGGATAATATGTATCGACCCCATACCTGGCTTTATTTTTGTTTATCATCTCTTGCTTTGCCTAGTTAATAAGACTTGACCATTGGTGTCTATGTTTAGGTTTTGTACTGTCTGGTTTTAGTCATCCTTCATAGGTCATGGAGGCGTGCGCCACACACAGATGAAGTAGGTTGGCTATAACTAGGAATGTTTTATGTGTTGCTATTTGTATTTTCTCCTTTAAAATGCAGACTCTTGAGCTGTGGAGGAAGTTGGTATCGACCACTGAATAGTCATGCTACTATGCTAGACAAATACTGGACTAAAATTCACTTGGATAATCTGGACAAGAAAGACCTGAATGAGGTGTGCAGTTTTGGAGAATAAGAGTGCTTTTCATTTTTATTTTTCGTTATGAAAAAATTCCAGAAGCTCCTCTTAGGTGGAAATAGAGGAAGTGGTACACAGGAGCATCCCTAATTGAAATATATCAAATCTAGAATTCAAGTTTTTGTTTTTTTTGAGTTCAAGAAAAGATATCCAATACCCTGGAACTAAAGATACTACATTTTTAAAACAGCTATTACAGAATGTTAATCTCAGCACACATACAACATATTCTCAGACTCTTTTTGGGGGTAGGGGTGGGAGTTTCCTCTGTGTAGTCCTGGCTATTTTTTTTAAGATTTATTTTTATTTGTGTTTTATGCATATGAGTGCTCTACTTGCATGTGCACCTCCATAACAGAAGAGGACATCGGATCTCATATTAGATGGCTGTGAGCCACCATGTGGTTGCTGATAATTGAACTCATGACCTCTGGACGAGCAGCCGGTGCTTTTAACCACTGAGTCATCTCTCTAGCCCATCCTGGCTATTAAACACACAGAGATCGCTTGCCTCTGCCTCCCAAGTGCTAGGATTAAAGGCGTGCACCACCATGACTCTGCTATTTTCTCAAACTTTATGTCCCAGTTTTATCTTGAATCTGGCCTGTATTCTCTGTGGCAATGCCTGCTCAGGCACTTGTTACTGACAGGTTCATTTTCTACTCCCAAGCATCCCAGACCACATTGTTTTCAGACAAGACAGGTGAACTCAGGGTTCCTTTTTTGTTTTAATTCTCCTGCCAAACAGATGTAAGTAAACATATCAATGTTTTGTAAAGCCTTGGAACCCAATGTACAAATGTGAAGCTCGCTCTGCTGCAGTGTTAAGTAGCTATTGAAATGACGAGGACTAGACAGTGTGCTTTCAACTTCTACTTTCTACCTTTTAAAACTGAACTGCTTTTTATCACTTCGTTTTTGATCTGCTTTAATTTTCTTTCTTATATAACTTTTACATATTTTTATTTCTTATATAAGATTACATAATGAAGCTTATAGACTTATATTCAGGATTACACAAAGTGGTAACCAAGGAATTCTTTAATTTATGTACGTGGGTACCTATGGTTTGGTTATTTGGGTATCTGGCTTTTGTTCTCTAAACTAGTTTAGATGGCTAGATTGTCATAATTTAGTAAAAGTTGTGGGGGGAAGTCATGGAATTAAAGTATGGTGAATGGGTGGAGGCAAGGACAGGTGAGGGTGCAGATTATTGTGCTTGGTGAAGATTACAGATTTTATGGAGAAACCTATTTTCTGGTTGACTAATGTCAGCAATTGTTGTGTGCTCCCCATCCCCATCCCTGTGCTCAGGCTGGGGCCCAGGTCTTACCCAGACATGCTGAATTACATGTCCAGTGTGGTAGGTCCTTTTAAGAGTCTCTCCTGGCTGTTAAAGTTTCTTTCTTTTTCCCCCCTGGAATCAGGTTCTTCAGAGCAGATATCCAAGCCTTTTGGCCGAAACTGATTACTTACTAGACATTTACATTGAGCTTACTGGAGAAAAACATTGCTGTCCAAGTGATAGTTCTGTTGGCAATGAACAGGCACCACAGGAAGTTTCAAGAGAAAAGAGAAGAATGGTCCATGAGGGAAGAGAATTATCTTTAAGGTACCGGACTACATATTGCTTTCAGTTGATATGTTAAAAACGGCTTTGCTGCAAACTTCTTCCAGTTAGAAGTAGGGTGATCCTGACAAGTCATGTTTACAGATTGAAACTATGGGTTGTATCATGAGATCAGATCCCCTTTGAGCTAGGTAGGGCACATGCATGTAATTCTAGCATCCTAAGCGCCTGAGGCAGGAAGATCTTCCAGGCCAGGCTGTGTAGCCAAACTGGGATACAGAGCTCACGTAGCTCAGAAACACAGGTTTAAAAATTGACTTAAATGGTTGCCTTAATCATTCTCTCAGTAGAAGTCTTTTCATAATAGGTCTTGGGTGGGGGGCACTTGAGACAGAGTCTCTGTAGCACTGGCTGTCCTGGAACTCACTTTGTAGACCATGCTGGCTTGAACTCACAGAGATCCACCTGCCTCTGCCTCTTGAGTGAAAGAAAGGTGTGTGTCACCACATCTGGCCTTTCTTAAGCCTTCTGGATTTGCTCCATATAATGAGTTCTGTGTCTCAGTTCTCCATTCTCAATGGGGATTAGAAGTAAGTAGGTCACCTGAATTTGGTAGTATTTAGTCTATTTCCTTTCTTGTTATGAGTATGGGAGAAATGTGTATGGTTAAGGACTTAACCTCTATTACTTTCTCCTTCACATTGATTAGAATAATAGAGACATTTTAGTCATCGGGTAACCTGAGACGTAAGAGAGCTAAATAACCTGTTATTTCTTTAGCCTATATTTTTTTGTTTGCTTGCTTTTAAGGGATCTCCTGAATTGGTGTAATAGAGTTGCTTATGGTTTTGACAGTACATCTTCATCAGCTTCGTTACATGTTTTTCAGGAGGTAAGATGTTGGTTGTCTTCTCTGTGGCTGCCAGCTTCTCTAGTTACAGTTTACTTCCCTTAGCCACTTAGTTCAAGCTGCTCCCAGCTAATCAGATGTAATGAATGACTTACCTTTAAACAGGGTGTTACTCTAGAAGAGGTAAGGTTTTACAAACAGTGAGGGAGGGAAAGCTTGACTAAATGGGTTGGTGTGGTACAGCACAGTGCCTCTAGAGCTGTGGTCTTTGTATCTGTACCATCTCTTCAAATCTGTATCTTGGGGTTAGAGAAGTATGTGGGAGCTATAAAATGTGATGTAAAAAGTGAAAATTGGGGTGTGTGTGTCTGTGAGGCCCTTTAGGAGTAGGGCTTTGTTAATTCCCTAGGAACAAAGTAGGCTTCCTGAAGATAACGTACTCCTAAAACACTGACTAACGTTGACTATAAGGTGTTGTGGTTTCTTTTTTGAGGTTGAAAAGAGGACTACAACTCAGTTCGGTTTGCATTCTATTATATATGTGCTCAAGTTACCTTGAGTAGAAAGCAGCCTCCTTTGGAGTATGTACTTTATACTTTCTGAACCTTGAAATGCTATGTGGCTTCCTTTTTCTTTTGGTTTGTTTTTTTGCAGGGGGGGGGGGGGAGTTGGAGACAATTTCTCTGTATCCCTGGCTGTCCTGGAACTTGCTCTGTAGACCAGGCTGGCCTTGAACTCAGATCCTTCTGCCTCTGCCTCCTGAGTGCTGAGATTAAAGGCATGCATTACCACCACCTGGCAAAGACATTTTTACTTTTATCCATCATTTTCCAATAAAAAGTCTTTTCTAGCCGGGCAGTGGTGGCGCACGCCTTTAATCCCAACACTCGGGAGGCAGAGCTGGGCGGATCTCTGTGAGTTCGAGGCCAGCCTGGGCTACCAAGTGAG